TCCTGCATTAAGTGAAATTCTCTTTCTTGAGAGCTTTGAACAAAGTGATCCTCCAATGCCTTCCAAACTTCCGATGAAGTCTCGAGTCCAACAACAATTCCAAGTACCTCTTTTGATAAGGTACCAGTGATCCACCCACGAAGAAGACGATCAGACCGTCTCCAAGTTGCATAAGTTGGATTTGGTACTTCCTTCTCATTTGAAAGTACCTTTGGATCAGGCATTTCATACTCACCATCAATAAAACCCAATAGTTCTTGGCTTTCAATTAAAGCCATCATTTGGGTTCTCCAGAGTAGGTAATTGTCTGAGGTGAGTTGGAGAGAAACAAAATTGGCTACATTCAGTGTGGCCGGATATGGGTAGTTTTTTGAAGATGCTGTTGTTTGTTGGGTAGGAGCTAAGGACATGTTGTATGATATTTTGGTTCTCCTCACCGAAAGGCTCTGATACCATAAAGAGGTTTATAAAACCAGAATCAATGAAAGTTTCTCTCGAGGTGAGGAGAGAAAGATATATTTCAAGTATTTATAATATTTTACAGCACCTTACATTGTGGCATGATTTTAGGAATCATTGCTATCAATACCAGATACAAAGAATGCATAATATATTTAGTGGCCAACGATCATATTGGAATTATTGTGGGATTCTTTCCTTTTGTGTCAGTTTGAATTCTCTCTGGAATTACTCTGTTAGTCTCCATATTTCCCTCATGTTTAGGAGCTTGACTAACTTCTTTACCGTTGCTGACTTGAATGATTTCTTCCCTGATATTTGCTCTCCTTGATTTTCTCCTGATGCTTATGTCCTTGAATCTCCTCAATCTTCTGGCTTGGATTTGCTTGATTTTCCCTGGTTTGTTCTCCAATAAAACAATCCTGGTCAAACGCAGAACAAGGGCTAATAAGTGAAACGTTAAAACTTAACGGTTCGATGATGTCAAGTTTAACATAGGGGCTGATTTGCCACCACAAACGAGTTGGAGGGTTAGTTTGCGCGTGAACTGAGTTGAGGGGTTGATTTGCCACCGATAGAGGAGTTGAGGGGTTAATCTGCATGTTTTGCCGCTCCACAAGATCCCTCATCCCGCATCGGATACTACCAAAAAAGCAAAGCACGCGCAATTCATCTATCATACTCGTGAGGTCCATGTACGACCTCACAGTGTAATGTCAACAGTAACAAAACAATAATGCAGTACTGCAGGGAGTTGTTTAAATAGAAAAAACAAAAGTGCAATCAAGTTTGGAGGATTGTACCATGAGGAAAGTTGAGGAGATTTTATTTAATAGTATTTTTTAGATTAAAAAAAAGAGCGTACCTTGCTGGTGGTGCCAAATTGATTGTGTCCTAGTATTCTTTGGTGCAAGGCCCTGTATTAATTTCATCGATGATGTCTTCAGCATCGTAAGCAACCTCTTCTAAATCCCAGAGCCAGAGTTTGAGGGCACGACTGGGACGGTGGTTTTGTTGGACATCATGGAGCAAGGCGTTGATTTTGGGCAAAAGACTTTTCCCACATCTTAAGTTGGGACAAAAACTGCTCCTTCCGGGCAAAGTTAACAACTCTGAAGAGACAATTGATCAGAAATAAAATTGAAGAGAGCGAAGAACATTACATCAGCAATACACAATGCTAAATTTCCCATTTTCCAATGTAATAAAAACTAGAAAGCAAAAGTGAAAATGATACTCCTCCTTCCTTGCAGTCATATTTTTCCCGAGGAAAGGAAAATGGTAGTTTAGACTTTTATCAGAAAAAAATAAATTGGATAATCGATGAATATGAATATATATATAGCGGCTTCAATTGGGTTTATCCATGTCGGAGAATTTACCTTTGGCCATGGCATTAGGCTCGAGCACCCGAACTTCCTCAACGGGCTTGGAAATGTTGAAGAATTTTCAAAATATTTCCAAGATTTGGGTTTGAATAATAAAAAGTTGGTTCGAAACAATTGCACAGAATGTATTTGAGAAAGTGTAACTTTGGTTCGAACCATAATTATATGGTTCGAATCATTTACGTAAAACCAGAATCCGAAAATTTACGATTTTGATTTGAATCACATTTATTTGATTCGAACCATTTACGACAGAATAAAAGATAAAATTCAGATAAGTTTCTGAAGAGAGTGAATAACTTTGAAAGGCAAGAAAACACGTGAATTGGAATTCAAATCAAACCAAATGACTTTTGGAAGAGTTTCCAACGGATAAAAATTAAAAAGAAGTGTTTGTTCTCAATAGACATCTTGAAAAGAAGTGTCTATTCCAACATACATCTTGCCCTATAAATATGGAGTTATCTCTTCTTCTCTGGTAGAGTCTTTTTGAACCAAAAAATATCTAAATAAAACAGCCCCTTTTTTGTATTGCGATTGCTCGAGAAATCCCTATACAAAAACTATTATTTTGTCGCTTTCCAAATGATGGTTCAATGGTTGATCTTGCTAGTGCAAAGGCGAGATCAACAAGGCGCTTCATTGTATTCTATGGGCATTTCGGGTTACCCCCTTTGCATACTAGATTTGGTGGGGGCGAAATTAGCCTAAAGGAAAATGGCATTTGCAGCACGTCTTAAAGCTAATGATCTAATGATCTCATTTCTAACCCCCTATTTTTCCAACAATCTTTAGGCTAATTTTTATTTTTTTGAGATCATGGCTTACTGGATAATTAAGAAGAAACTTGTGCTACAAAACGCATGTGAAGCCAAGGAAATTTGGTGTGCAATAGTGACAAAAGGAAAAGGGATTTTTGGTGTGATTAACCCATATACAAAAGTGGTGGTTTATTAAATTGATTATAGCAATCGTGTGACAAAGCAATCGTGTAATCAAATTGTCAATGAGTGATGGTGGATGAATCAACCACAGGACGCAAATAAAGTTTTTGAATTGTAAGGCGATGATGATGCATGATATCGACGAAAAAGGAAAACAAAGTGCAGACAGATTGAAACTCAATACAGGAGGAATAGGTACGCAGAATAAGTTTATGCTCTTGATTGGCATGAATTTTTCATATGATTTTGTTTTGCAAACAAATTTTGAGTGGGTTTTTAAAGGAAAAAACAATGTTCATGATCTAAATACATGAGTTAGTTTTAGAAATTAATTCTTCAAGTTTGATTGATGGTTTCATATCCTTATCTATCAAATCTCTTTGAATGAAACATTGCATTTAGTGATATTATTTCACAGGCTGTTCATCCATGCTTATCTCTTGTATCTATTTAATTAAATATGAGGAGAAAACATCTCCTGGAGAATGGCTTCAAAGAAGTTATCAAATACGCAAATGATAGTGCAAAGATTTATAATTAAAAGTCATTTGGCACAATGAGGCAAGAGAAATAAAATGGGTCTTTAAATCCCATTTGGAGATTAAATAAATCTCAGACTTGATAGCATGGTTCTTGGCAATGAGAAGGAAGATATTTATGAATTTGAATATGATCATGTTTTAAGATCATGTTTTAAGATCATGATTGTGCCTTGATTTTGAGATTACTAATGAGATAAAAATAAAGTTCTGTTTTTCTTTTCATTTAGTAATGATTATTTACTGTTCTTTGGTGAATACTTATGAAGCTTTATGGAGTTTAAGTAGTATATCTTACTTCTAGACCTGATCTTATTAAGGTTTGCTTAAGGCTTATTAAAGTCAATGAGATTTCCTTTACTTGGATTATGTTATAAGCATGTTTATGTATATGACAGTTTTAGTTAATATCATTGAAGTTTGTACATGTGTTAAACATGATTACTATTTTTAATATGAGGCTTGTGGAAATATAAGAGGCTAATGAATCTGGTCATGTTTCATTAATGAAAGGTTGCCTTTTATTTATGCTTGTAAGATTATATACCAGCATATGAATATTGAAACAAGTGAGAATCAAGTCTCATGATGGTTCTTTAGCCATGTTAAAAAAAGAAATACTAAAATGGGATTTGGCAAACCCATTTGGAGATCCAACTGATGGTCTTAGTATAAACTAAGAGAAGAGAGGCCAAGTAAAAAGGCTCTCAGTTTTGATAAGTCATGAAGGATTTTGAATCCTTGTTTAAATGCTATCTCTTAATGAGATCATTTGTAGAAACTAGTGCAACCTTGTGCACTTGATTGATTTTTGGAAGCTTGGAAAGATGGTCCAAAAGATAAAGAAATATGGATTTAAAGAATCCTATAAACAGCAAGAGTGAATAGCTCTTGGTCATGGAAAATGAATCTAATGATTTGAGTTGTTCCAGAATTTTTGGTTCAAATCACTCAAAGATGATTCGAACCAATTACATAGGAAACTCAGAAAGTATTAAGAAGATTTGAAACATTTTTTACTGTCCTAATGTGCCTCTCATGAAGAATGTTAATGTCATAAAATTGACAAACAATATTTAAAATGGTGGGAACAATCCCAGGAGTGAGAGGATCAAGGACTAGAAGTCCTTGACACATGAAAAGCAAACAAAATTTAATTTGAAGTGGAGGAAGCAAGAATTCCACTTGTTCATGATATTATAAGATTATATGGCACTGTTTAAAAGTGACAACACTTGTTCCTGAGAAAAAGTGATAGCGCTTGTTCTTGGAGATGTCTACACTTTTCAAGAGTTCATATTATTTTAAGACATTCTTATATGAATGTGTATGATGACTAAAAATAATAGGATGTCATCAAGTGCTTATAAAGACATTCTTAAATGAGGTGATCACCATAATCTTTGCAAGGTCTTGTGTTAATTTCATGAATCCTTGATTAAAAGGATTATCAAAAGAAAATTCACAAGACAAAAAGAGGGATGGGTCTTAAGTCCATATTGACAAAAGTCACACATGATGGAACCTCGACTTAACGCTTGATAAAAACTTCAAGTCTTAAGTTCAATGAGTAAAGTACATTATATGAATGTGACTGCAAGTACTCAATTTATCAATAATACCATCCCAAGTGGAACAGTACTTGGTAACCACATGAAACAAAAAGGAGGATGAGTTTTACTCTTAATAAATCCTATAACAGATTTCTATTGAAGTGCTTAATGTGGTGGCACTTTTGATGGGATCTACCTATATGAGTGGAAGTGGTGCCGCTTCTAGGAGTTAGGGACTTGACTCTAACAGCACTCATGAAAAGGATACAGGACACATGGCCAGTTTTTGTGTCGGTGGATGCTGAATTCCTTTTTTGGAAAGCTTGAAGTCTTGTGTGTGATATGTGCCCAATTAATCACATAGAATCGCTGGTTCAAAGCATTAGTCTACCATGTAATTCTGATTAATTTGCCAACACATGTTCACTAAGTGAAAGGTTCAAATCGTAAGATACCTCCATGTATGCATAAGATTTCCAAAACAATTGGTGGCTATTCTATTTTGAAAATGGTGGGGGAATGTTGAAGAATTTTCAAAATATTTCTAGGATTTGGGTTCGAACCATAAAAAGTTGGTTCGAAGCAATTGCATAGAATGCATTTGAGAAAGTGTAACTTTGGTTCGAATCATAATTATATAGTTCGAATCATTTGCGTAAAACCAGAATCCGAAAATTTACGATTTTGATTCGAATCACATTTATTTGATTCGAACCATTTACGCCAAAATAAGAAATAAAATTCAAATAAGTTTCTGAAGAGAGTGGATAACTTTGAAAGGCAAGGAAACACGTGAGTTGGAATTCAAATCAAACAAAATGACTTTGGAAGAGTTTCCAACGGATAAAAATTGAAAAGAAGTGTTTGTTCCCAATAGACATCTTGAAAAAAAGTGTTTATTCCAACATACATCTTGCCCTATAAATATGGAGTTATCTCTTTTTCTCTGGTAAAGTCTTTTTGAACCCAAAAATATCTAAATAAAACAGTCCCTTTTTTTGTATTGCGATTGCTTGAGAAATCCCATACAAAAACTATTGTTTTGTCGCTTTCCAAATGATGGTTCAGTGGTTGATCTTGCTAGTGCAAAGGCAAGATCAACAAGGCGCTTCATTGTATCCTATGGGCATTTCGGGTTACCCCCTTTGCATACCAAATCTGGTGGGGGCGAAATTAGCCTAAAGGAAAGTGGCATTTGCAGCATGCCTTGAAGCCAATGATCTAATGATCTCATTTCTAACCCCCTATTTCTCCAATAGGAAATTGGAGGGGCTCCTCTTGCCTCCTTGCAGCATGCCTTGAAGCCAATGATCTAATGATCTCATTTCTAACCCCCTATTTCTCCAATAGGAAATTGGAGGGGCTCCTCTTGCCTCCTGCCTCTTGCATTGATGACTTGTTCTTATTAGCAGATTTGCTCAAGGTAGCTTGTCCTTCTGTAATTGCTCATCTGGAATGGGGAAGTGAATTGAATGTTGCTTACCACCGTGATGCCCAGTATTGTCTTCAATGGAGTCTTTGCTTGGGCCTTTATCCATGGGCTGGCAGCTCTCATGGTCCACAGCTTTTGCTCCAATATCATGCTCTTTCTCTGCTGCCGAACGCTCTCTTTCTCATTGTGACAAGTTGCCATTGATATCCCTCAACTAATAATATTCTTTGTTATTTTAACCCTAGCTTTGAGCAGCAGAAATGAAGATGAGAGATGGGAAATTACTGTACTAATAAAGAAAAAGTGTAGACCTTTTAAGAAAATGCAAGTTACATGGGAAATACTGCAATGCTTTCTGAGACTACACGTAACAAGAATGATGTTTTCAAAGAAAAACAATAAAAGCATGTTTGGATCTATCAAAGAAAAACAATTAAAGCAAGAAGGAGAATCATTAAAAAGATAAAAAAAAAAAAAAAATAGAACAAAAGATTAATTATTTTCCAAAGAAATATTCACAAACAAAGAAGGGAAGAAATTGTACATTTTTTGTTCTTTCCACAGACAAGGGAAGAAATTCCATCTTTATTTAGCTTATAATTTAAATTTGAGATATTTTTTTAAAATTTTTTTATTATTATTTTGACAAAACATTTTTTTCACACATTTTAAATTTAATTTTTTATTAATTTCAAAAATACATTTCACATTAACTTAATGTATTAAAAAATAATTTTTTTAAATGTTAAAATAAACCGATCGTTTGAGAATGTAAAAAAATCTATTAATGTGAAATTAACACCCACGAGACAACTTAACATATGTTAATATATAAAAATATAATAACTAATATCAATAATCATAACCCACCGAAAATGAATGAGTGGCGTGCAACTTGCAAAGCAAAGGCTGATTTTAAATATCTTCTTCAATTTCATTTTTGTGGGCCACAAAATATAATTCCAAAGTTATTACATGATGCCAGTATCCTGTTAAGTGTTTGAGGTAAAAAAAAGAAGAGGTTAGATTATCTCGAACACAAAACATAGATTTTGCCCAAAATGCAAATGTAACATTACAAATAACACCAAATAAAAAACAAAATGCTGCCTCATTCAACTGTTGATTTGTAATTTATTAATTAAGAAAACCAAATGGTAGATGGTTTATGTGGTAAAGGATTACTCATCATCTTATTGGCCAACTTAGATGTCCTTTTACAGGTAAAGCAGATCAAATTGTTCTCTCATCCTCGGCGTATGATGTTTCCTCATTCGTCTTTGGTTCGTGTTCTATGTAGCAACTAAATATGCAAACAAATTAACAATAATAGCTAAAGCAATCAAACAAACATATGACATAAAATTTTTGTAGAAAAGCTCTTCAAATAGAAAAGTAAAAACTAGAGGACCTCTAGTCCATAAAAAAGTAGGTCCACGATATTAAGACAGTTTTACAAAACACTCTTCAATGAGCTATAATAACAGCACAAAGGCAAGAGAAAATAAGCAACTACAAGACAACAAGAAAATGGAGAACAAATGAGAATGATGCAGGCAGGGGCTCGGCCAATGAAACATATGTTAGAATGATACAAAAGCATAAACCAGAGTTTGATGGAGAAAATTCGTTCCTTCTGTATCTCAAAAGCCTTCGATATTCCCTCTGTATTTAGTGTGCTGTAAAACCGATCGAGTTTGATGGAGAAAATGTGTTTAAATCTGCATGAGTCAAGAATATAAGAAATCTATGTAACCAATTAACATTAACATACTGTGTGACCAATTTATGTTAAGATACATTCATAATCCAGTCATTGATCTTACAGTAACTCTGAGCAAAGGTAAAGGGCTCGCCGGTTCTCCTCCTCCTTGAATCCACCACCACTAGTCTCCTACAATTTGATACCACGAACTGCTCACTTGCAACAGTTCAATGCTGGGTCGTTCTTGAATTTACAAACTGGAAACTGATTGTACCTAGTTTAACAACAATGGTATTCTCAACTGTCACGAACAAATCTCCCCTCTTGTCTACTTCAAAGTTCTTTTTTAGCATATTTAGAGTACAATGGTATCAGCAGGATATAGCAATGTAGACATTAATTAGGCAACTTGCCTGGATCTTTAATTTCTCTTAGCAGAAACCCAACAGCCAAAGTTATTACATGATGCCACAATCCTGTTAAGCGTTGGAGGTAAAAAAGAAGATAGATTATCTCGAATACAAGTATAGCAGGACCATGAAACAGAGTTCAAGCTAAAAAGTGTTTTATTCCCTCTGTATGTGGTGTGCTGCAACACCGAGTTCGATGGAGAAAATGTGTTTAAATCTGCATGAGTCAAAAAAATAAGAAATCTATGTAACCAATTTAACATTAAGATACTGTGTGACCAATTTGACGTTGAAATACATTCATAATCCAGCCATTGAGCTTGCAGTAGCTCTGAGCAAAGGTAAAGGGCTCCCCGGTTCTCCTCCTCCTCCTTGAATCCATCACCACCGGCCTCCCACAATTTGATACCAAAAACAGCTCACTTGCAACAGTTGACTGCTGGGTCTTTTTTGAATTCAATCTGCCAATGCAGTGCAAAGTCCATTACAACAAGGATTAAGTAGTCCAACAAGAGTTTTTCTAACATAACTGAAAACATAAAGAGATTACCATTCTATTTCTATGCAAGGGATGCGGCTTTCAATGGCCAATATGCCACTTTCTTCTCTAAGCATTGTTGTAGAAGTTGACAGTTTCTGGTACAAAGTTTTCCAAGTTTTGCAAGCATTCCTTCCCTTGGCAACTCATGAAGCTTTGGACAATCACTGACTTCTAGCCCTTCAAGAGAGGTCAGGTTTTGCAGTTCTGTGGATAGAGATTCCATATTGTTGAGTTTGGAAATGACTATAGAAGTCAGAGTTGGAGGAAGCAGACACTTATCATCTGGAACATCAAAGGTTTGAAGTGCACCTAGAGACTCTAGCATCTCTTGTGGCAGGCATGCAAGGTCCCTAATACTTCGGATTCTCAGTGTTGTTAAGGAAACAAGGTGAACAAAATTTTACAGTTGCACCTTGTTGCAATCTTCAATATGTAATTCGCAAAGGGAGGGGAGTCTCACAAGTGAACCCTCCAACTTTGGGCAGCGACTAATGATAAGCTTCACAAGGGAAGGAAGGCATCTTGGTAAGCCCCCAGCTAGCTTCGGACAATTTTGTATCAAGAGCTCATGAAGAGAAGGAAATTCATCAGCTAAATCTTCATCACCTTTATGAGTGGAAGACCAATGTTCCCATTCTAACATATTGTGAAACCACAAAATTTCCAATGACAGAAACCTCTCAGTAGAAGGCAAACCATCTCCATAAAACTCAAGACCCACCTTCTTGACTCCATTCATGCCTCGAATGAACAACTTCTTCAATAATGGCAGTCTCCCAAGTGATGGAAGTGACATGCTTTTACTGCAGTTATTGAGGCTCATGTGCACAATATTAGTGAAAGAGGGATCTCCTAACCAAGATGGAAATCTTTTACCACCATAAAATGAAATTGCAAGTTCTTTCAGATTCTTATTAGGTTTTAGCATATTGAGAACATGCATTTCACCTTCTTCCTTTTGGTGATCAAGGAACTCACTACCCCATTTCAAATATAAGCCATCAATACCATGCTTGTCCATTAGATTAGCATCCCTAGCATCTCGAACATTCACCACATTTTCCAATCCAGTAATAGAAAGCTCCCCTTTTAAATGTAACAAGTCCTTCAATTCTCTAATATTGCCAAATCAACTTTCCTTTCCAACACTGAATTTGGACAAAACCTGAAGATTTTTCAAATTGCCTATTCGCAATGGCATCTCCACTAATTTCTCACTATCAGTAAGATCAAGGACAAGAAGGTTAATTAGATTTTCAATACCTTGTGGCAGCTTAGTAAGCTTCCTGTAGCCTCGCAATAAAAGTGTTTGTAAGTTGAATAGCTTGCCCACAGATTCTGGTAACTGTTTAATTGTACCGTAAGACAAATTAACATTAAGGTACCTCAAATGCTTCAGATGACCAATAGAATATGGTATTTCATCTATGCATTATCCACTCAAACATAGCACTCTTAAGTATCTGAATTTTGCCAGCAACTCCTGTAACACTTTGTTACTTATGTAATACTGTGCTGCCTGAGATGATGTATCCATTGGTAATGCTATGAAAGTCCGTAAAGACTCCATGTGATCTAATGCTTTAAATCTTTTAGAAATCTCATACTGGTGGCAAGTGAATGACAAATGACGAAGCTTTGCGGGAAATGCATGCGGCTTGTCTTCAAAGGTATCCTCAAAATGAAGGCACATTTCTCCAGCAACAAATTGAGCTACATCATTTATAAGGTCATGCATAACAAATAGTTTTCTGTTCCTACTTGAGTGTTGGAAAAAAGACATTGAAACTAAATCATGAAAATATGTAAGACCTATGTCTTGCATTTGTTTTTCTCCCTTTGCTTGTTGTATTAACCCCTCAGCCATCCATAGTAGAACCAAGTCATTCTTGTCAAATTCATAGTCCTTTGGAAACATAGCACAATAGGCAAAGCATCGTTTC